TGTGTGATCAAAATATAAAGCTCTGTGTGTGTGTGAGTCTGGTTTATTTACCGAAACCATGAGTGAAAGTGAGGGTGAGCAAGAAAGCAAGAGAAGAAGAAGGGGAAAAAAAATATGTACGCACGTGAGTCTATTTGAAACGTGAGCAAGGAAGGTATGTGGTACTTAATTTATACATGAGTTGTGATTAATTTTAGTATATAGATGTTGTACATATATGGGTTGTTTTAACATGTTTTAAATTAGTGGCTGTTTTAATTTATTTCATATACTATTTTATTTTAATTTGATGGACTATTCACGTTTAAATAATGGGCTGTTTTAATTTAAATTTCATGGACTGATTTTTGAGTTTAATTAAGTGAGTTAACATAACTTAGAGGGCTATTTTGCATTGATTAAAAGTGCATGTGAATTTAAGTGTAGCAGTTTTAAATAAAAATGTACAATAAAAGTTGGACATGGATGCCGGTAACGTCGAAACTTTAATTTTTAAATATTATTATCACATGTGTGAGTTTTAATCCAAATTACCTAAAATTTTGCATGCTGCATTTTTAAATAATGTTTGATGTGATAATGTAAATTTCGATGCGAAATGCACGAAATGTCAAAAGTGCGATTTTTAGAATTCGGGATCGAAATGTGTGAAAATGGACCCCTGGTCAATGTGTTTGACCTACTTAATCCTAATTGTAGTAATTGCGATTAATGTGAGTGATTTTGAAGATTTGGGGAGGAAATATGATCCCTACATCTAATGTACCAGTATGTGAGTAACCGAGGTTACCGAGACACTTTGGGTTGAATCGTCTTGCATGCATTAATGCATGATCAATTTTTCAATGTGATAAATATGTTGATATTTTAATTATAAATGTGTTAGGCGGAACAAGTGGGACAGTTGGTATTAAAACAGATACGGAAACACCGAAGGAATTCACTGGTAGATTCGACGACTCGTCGTAGCTCTGTACACTTGAGATGAGTGTATATCTTTATATGTTTTGGAAATGCTATTATATTATAATAGTAACTGATAGAATTTAATAGCAATTCTCCAAAATTATGTGCTACGTGCTTGTGTGATTGAATGATGTTTTATACTATGTATTGTGTATTGTGGAATGTGGTGCACTGTTTGATATAGGGCCGTTGATGCCTGGTCACTGGGCGTGCAGTGATATGCTAGCACTATAGTGTTCCCGGGAGGTTCGGGAGACACGGATCCATGTGGGATCAATCACTCGATGAGGGGTAGTATGAATGTGATGTGACTTGCGAATTCTTTGGAATTGGATTGATGTTGTTGTTTGATACGTATATCTACATAGTATTTACCTACTTCAGTATATTACTATCGTTTTCATTTCATATACAACATGTATACTCACTTAGCGCGTGATTTAGCTCACACCCCTACAGCTCTTCCTTTTTAGGTACTGTAGAGGAGGATACAGACTAGTCCTCTGTCCAGTCAATTGAGTCTTGTACAACGATAGAGTGATATCACTCAGGTTGAGTATCAGTATGACTAATTTCTGGATTATGTATTATATTTGTGAAAGATTATTATTATAGCAGTTTAATACTGCATATTTGTAAATAGACTCAATAATCATACTTTGTGATGTATGTCATGTGGGTGTGAGAGTTTGTATCTGTCTATAACCTCGAAAACAAATAATTGGTACAGATTATGACATAGATTGACCATCATGTTTATTGACTAAGGTGATGGGTGGTATTGTTGCACATGTGAGATTACTTAGTGTTTTATTAATCTAGATTATATATATATATATGTAAACAGGTGTATCAAAGACCTAGTCGTGTCTCATCCCTGGGAAACCGGGATGGGGCGTGACAGAGGATCACGAGAGTAGCTCCGATGGACGCTCCTGCTCCCATGTCCTTTGCTTCACCAACTAGTTTTGTCCAATCGCTTGAAATAATTCACAATCAATTGAGGACATTGACGTTGTCTCGTTCAATTTGTTTCAAATGGCCACCTAACTATTCTTCCATGAGCTCCATTATTTCTCAAGCTAGGATAGGGGTGCAACTTGGGCAGATCAATCTGAATTCAATTTGAGAAAAAAAGGTCTTGGGTTGAGATTTTTAATACTTGTGTTGGGTCTAAGCAGAAAAATACCAACCCAAATTGAATTCGGGCAGTACTCGGTGGAGGTCTCGAGTTATCGGGTTCAACCTAAATATATAAATTTGGCTCAACCCGAATATATAAATCTAGCTCAACCCGAACATATTTAAAAATAAATATATAAATCAATATAACAATATAACTTAAAAGTTAAAACACTAGAGATCAGTCTTCTGCTTCAATCTTATGTTAAACATTTGGCTATTATGTCTTTATGTTAAACATTGACTTTTGTGTTTTAAATACTATGGTTTTTATGTTAAATATTTGATTAAAGTTATTGATTGTTACTTTAGGTAAATATTTGATTTGGCTTAAATGAACCTAACTCAAATTCTAACCCAAAATTTGCCTGAATTACATAACCTGAATTCAACCCAAGCCCACCTTGCCCTGAGATCGAGTGTTCACCATACGTATCACTACAAGAAAGCTTGGTTCGATAACCTTCCCACAAACGGTGCCAAATTGCATGGGAGAATTCTTATAATGGGTTGAGATAGCTACTATTACTTTAAAAATGTATATCCAAGCGTAGGTTGTTGCGAAGTAATAAATTTCTTGGGAGTCCGAGGTCAAATCTTCAGGGAATTGTGAAAACAGAAAACACAAAACAAATAAAAGAAAATTATTTAAAATTCATTTGAATAGAAATTTTATCCAGCAAAACAAAGATGAATTGATTAAAACAATAATTAAATACTAAAGTATCAAGGATACCCTTTCAAATCCATTCAACAATTATTAAAAACTCAATTTCTAAACTCAATTAAGAATCAGCTGAGGAGTGATTCCAACCGAAATATTTAGCAATAATGATATGAAAACACCAATAGTTATAACATCGAATTAACAGAATAAATCAAGCAATTACAACCTTGAATCAAAAACAATATCGTATTTCATTAAAAGATTCTCTCCTAGCCTTAGCTTGCCTTTTAGCCAGAAATAATTGAAAATACCACAAAAATAAAGAAGAAAACTAGAAGGACCAGATCCTCTCTCCTGAAAAACTATCTTTTTATTTATAAGTAATGAGGCAACCCCCAAACTAGGTCACAGTGCAAGGCACAAAAGTCCAAGCATTCACCCAATGTACCCCCTCCGATGCTTAGGTTAGTCGGTGTTCAAGTATGGAGTAAATGCACAATGGAGAGCAGATTAAGCTTGCGTACCTCAATTCTGCTTCTAGAGGGGTATTTATACCTTAGATTGCAATGATGCCTCTCCCATCCAAAGTCCCATCCTAGACTTTAGTAGCTGGTGCTCATAATCTAGCATAATGAGTGTCATTCCATCACATCACATTAATGTTAAGTGATTGGGTGTTTGAATTCGCAAGTAGGAATAAGCCGAGCATTCATTGCTCCCTTCCTGACCATCGAGTGCTCTAAACAAATGCTCAGAACCTACGGCCGAGCATTTATAAGTAGCTACTAGCTCTTGAGGGCTCCCCCTGGTCTAGATGCCTGTATAGCCGCATAATGACAGTTGTTTTCACATTCTTCGAGGATTAATCAGTTATTAATGGCTTGTCAAGCCAATGTGATCCCCATTAATGACCTATCACACCTTATTTAATGCTCAGTCCTATGTTTACTTCTCAAACCCGAGTACTCTACTTGCTTGGTATCATCTTTCTGATGAATCACACATGCTTCAATGACTACAGATGGCCACGTGTTAGATTCTTGTTGGTTGGCTGCCAACGTTATTTATTATAAACTCACATGAGTCGCCAATAATCTATGAATTTATACATAAACCCGTGACGGAGGATTATAATCGCCTAAAAGAGTGTGTACAATGCAAGAAGGATTATAACTGACTGGTTGTCATTGGTGTCAAACCAATCAAGGGGTAGAAATGTAAAGTAAATGTTCGTTTGCTGAAGACAGTAGTTTGGATACTTCTGTCATGGAAAATGGGCCAGAAGAAAGAAATGTTGGTGATTGAGTGTTCGTCTTCTTTTACTTAATTGAGTTAGTTCCCATGATGACACTGATTTTTTTTTTGCTGTGGTGGAAGTGTTTAATTAATTTACCTAATGTCTTGTTTCAAATCAGAATTGTTCTTTCATAGATACCGTTATGCTTCCACAATTTGGGTACTGTTGAAGTAGAAAATTATTTTTTGGTAAACTTTAAGCGTTCTTGGTGTCCATCGATAGAAGATAATACATTTATGTTTATTTAATCAAGTTTAATACTTAAAAATTCACTAAATACAAAAGACTCCAAAACCGATCGGTATATATAATGCGTACAAAAAGAAAATAAAAAATGAAATTAATCTCTAACAAAATGTCTTCACCATTGTATGTGGTAATAGTAAGAAAATAAGATTAGAGTTGAATTTGATTAAAAAAAGTGAGATGAATCTAATTCGAATAGAAATTGTCAATAAAATTTAGAAATATTCTGGGTTATTTTGCAATAAAAAAATTTATCATTATTGTGGATGATTAATCACTTTTGTGGATATTTTTTTATCACTTATAAAATTTTTTATCATTTTTGTGGGAGATTTATCACTTCTGTTATAGGTATTTTATCTCATTTATGAATATTTTTATCAGTGTTTTAGTAATTCTGTTTACCTTTTTTTTTGGATACCCATAAGAGTGATAAAAACAACGATAAATATGATAAAAACAAAGATAAATATGATAAATTGAGATATAAGTACCCAAAAAAAATTTCGTTGTACATTATTTTTAAGCAACACTTTCCTAGAACTACCGTTTAAAAAATAAGGAAAATACAATGTCTTCTTAACAAGGGATTTTTTTTTTGGAAATTGAAAATCACAAATTCTAAACCCTATATCCTAAATCCTAAACCGTAACCCACAATCCTTTTGACTCCTTGGCTGTAGCGCTGAAAAGCACAAACCTCTGTGGTGGATTGTTCAAGTGCTTGGGTGTTTTAAGAGAAAATGGCTGATTCTGTGGTTGATTTTCTACTGGAGGACCTACGTCAGGTGTTAAGCCGTTGTACTGCTTTGATTCTTGAAGAAATGGTTCCTATTGAAGTCCTTTATGAGGATCTTAAATTCATAAAAGACTTCCTCAGGGATTCCAAGGAGAAGTTCAATGAGAGCGATGAATTGAAGATCTTAGTGACACATATTGGAGAGATGGCTTCCAAGGCATTGGTTGACCTTGACATGTTTACAATCATTAGCCTCATGTATGAGGGTATGAACATCTCTGAGCGATTCTATCAGGTCTTTGGTCGTTCCCAAAAGGTGAGAGATATGATACTTGAGGTTAAGTCTATCAAGAAACAAGTGTTGGAGATTTATGACAAGAAGCTCTACAGCATCGCAGTACCACAAGAAGAGACTATTGCAGGTAGGGGATGTCAATTTACACTTCAGTACAAATACGATACAAACTTGACAATTACACAATTGATACAAAATGAGTTGGGTTAATGGTAGATAAGAATAACATGTTAGTAGTGTAACACGAAAAAAAGTTTTTTTATTTTTTTATTTTTACTTCTTGATCTATTATGATATAAATTATATCAGAATGAAGTAATTTTTTAACATGAATTATGACACGAACATAACCTAGAACTGAAATGACACGTTTTGAAATGATATGACACGACTTTACTGGCACCTGTAATTGTAGAAATTATATCAAGAGTAGAGGAGTTGGAGGATAATGACAAGTTCTCCGACCCAGTCGTTCAAGAAGTAAACATGTCTGCCACAAGTAGCAGATCAACAGGGTCAAGAGCAAGCAAAAGCATTGTAGAGGAAGAGACTCTCGTGGGCTTTGAGGATGAGGCAATGGCGATAATGGAAAGGCTTACTGGAGTACAAAGGCAACTAGATGTTATCTCAATTGTTGGGATGGCCGGACTCGGTAAGACAACAGTAGCCAGAAAATTATACAATGATCCTTTCATTGTATATCACTTCTATATTCGTGGATGGATTTGTGTCACAGGTATATAGAAAAAGGGATTTGTTACTTGGTCTTCTGAGCTCTATTGTCAAGAATAAAGATGATTTTTTTGCAATGAGCGATGAAGATACCTTCCGAGAAGAAAAGTTGGGGGAAGAATTATACAAACGCTTGAAGGGTATGAGATTTCTAATTGTCATGGATAATATATGGGATTTGTTGGCCTGGAATGATTTAAGACAATATTTTCCTAATGACAACAATGGAAGTAGAATCTTGCTCACCACTCGGTTAAAAGAAGTTGCTTTGGACATAAAAGCCAGTAAGCCTCCTCACTGTTTGCGTTTTTTAACTAAAGCTGAAAGTTGGGATCTATTTCAACAAAAGGTATTTTTGAGAAATAGTTGCCCTCCAGAGTTGAGAAAAATTGGAATGGAAATTGTTGAAAGATGTTGGGGACTTCCGCTTGCAATTGTTGTTGTAGCTGGATTTCTTGCAGAGGAAGAGAAGACGCAAGAGTTGTGGAACCAATTTGCAAATCGAGTAAGATGGAGTAGTTTCGGTGATCGCAATGAAAAATTCATGGAAATACTAGAAATGAGCTACTTGAACTTACCTTCTCACTTGAAACCATGCTTTACATATTTTGGAGCATTGCAGATACACTATGAAATCCCAGTATGGAGGTTGATATGCTTGTGGATTGCCCAAGGATTTATACGGCCAAATGGACTACAGAGTTTAGAGGATATAGCAGAGGGTTACCTGATGGATTTGATTGATAGAAGTTTAATAATTCCTGCCAAGAAAAGTTCTGATGGTAAAATCAAAGCATGTCATATCCATGATACATTGCATGATTTGTGCCTGAGAAAAGCACCGAAATTTCAAGTGCCGATTTACCAGCATGGAGCAGTCATTTCTTCTTCAGGTTCAGGTCCTATCTCATATAACTACCCGACCTTTCTATCTCATGATACCCCTGTTATTCCTGGGAAGTCATCTGTCCCACATGTTCATTTTCTTTCCTTGGACATATCTGGTAGGAATGCACACCCTAATCTAACTATGTTATCCATTTATAAACAGCTTAGGGTGTTTGATATATCGCACATCACTCTGAAATTGTTCCCAGTGGTCATATTGCAATTGGTTCATTTGAGGTACTTGGCACTTCAAATTTACTTTACTGAGAGCCTGCCGTCACTAATATCCAACCTCTGGAACCTAGAAACTCTTATTCTTTATAAAAGGGGAGGCATCAAAATAACTATACCTCGTATTTGGAAGATGCAAAAGCTGAGGCATATACATATTTCAGCTCCATTGGAATTAGTAGACCCTTGTTGTGATACTTGGAATTTACTTAATGACCTGCAAACCATTTCCACATTATGTCTTTCTAGTTTAAGTGAGGATGTCTTAAAAATGATTCCAAATCTTAGAAAACTGGGTCTTTTTATACCTTTATCACCGTTTGGGAATTTATCTTTTCCAGTCCTAGCCAATTTAGTTCAGCTTACGACACTGAAGTTAGTTTATTGGAGGTGGAACTCTTCTCCATCAAGCATTCCCCAAATGTGCATGTTTCCCCCCAATCTCCAAAAGCTAACTTTATTAGGTGGTCATGTGGACTGGAAGGAAACGTCAACCCTTGGGTTGTTACCCAGCCTTGAGGTTCTCAAATTGGAATATGATGCCTTCAAAGGAAAGCAGTGGAAGACACCAAATGGTGGGTTTCGTCGACTTAAATTTTTGAAACTTAAACATATGAATCTTGAGCAATGGATTGCCTCAAGTAATCACTTTCCCTTCCTCCAAAGATTAGTGTTGGATGGTTGTAGGCGTCTCAAGGAGCTTCCGTCTGGCTTGTGTAATACACCTACATTACTGATGATCGAGCTATACCAGCCAAGATCCTCTGCTGTGGAATGTGCAAGGAGAATTGAGGAAGAGCGACACAACTCGGGAGATGATGGATTGAAAATCTTGATATACAATTAAGATGAAGATTGAAATGAGAGAGATTGAACTGCATTTGTATATGAATCTCTCCATTAATTGGATGTTGTAGAAATAGCTTATTTCTATTGGCTCTTTGGTTAAGCTATAGTTATATTAAAGATCACTATAATTATAGCATGCAAGTATAACCTAGCTACGTGTGAATTTAAGAAAATTAATAAAGAAATAATAAATTGGCTTGAGTTGAACTGTGAATATAAGAGATGTATAATTATTGTCTTAAAATAGCTGAGTTTACAATGGTCGTGTTCACTAGAAGGTGAGGTGAACTTCACTAGAATAGAAACTATCCACAAAATTGAAAGTAAAACACTATATAAAATGTTTATATCAAGGAAATTTAATTATATAAGAATTAGAAGATAAAAGATCGAAAACCTCCTAGATTAGGCCCTCTATTGATAGGAAAATTGGGCCTCCCTCGAAAATTAAGGAAAATCTATTTGTCATGATCTCTTTTTTATGTCAATGTTATTAGACTATTCCTTCCCTTTAGAAGGGAAGTAAAATTAAAAATTAAAAATTCTTAAATTTTAGGAGGTTGACTAATATTAAAAAAAATTTCTCTCTCGTATCTATATATATTCATATATAAGTTAGGATTATTATATATATACTAGTCATTACCCGTACCTGAAGACACTATATAACAAAAAAAAAATCTTAAACAATTGCCTAAATTCAAAAAGAATGGCCTAAAAATATTCATACCAATTTTTCTTCTAAAATGACTCAGCATATATCACCAACCATATCCTCTATATTAATGGAACTGTTATAAAAATATATAAAAACTTTTCAAAACAACATTATATATACAAATGCCTCCGAAAAAAATAAATAAATAAATATTAACATAATCCATTGAAATTTACAATTTATCACAACTATCACCACTCAATCCAATAGCAGAACATAATTATAAACTCAACCACCATATTTTCAATCTACCATATTCCTCATGTAATAAATACCTCAAGCCAAAAAAAAAAAATACTAACAGAACATAATTAAATTCATAATCTTAAAGCGGAAAATAAAATCAACTAAATCTTGTTTATTTATAAAACTCACGAATTTATCGTCACTATCACCACTCAACCCCAAATGGTACAATATAATTATAAATTTAATTATCAAATTTTAATCCTCCACATATAAATATAAATTTAACACACTCTCACACTTTTCTTTTTTAGCTACCAACGAACATTCTTAACCAACAACTGTTTTCGTTAGAAATACAAAAATTTAAATTTTTAAGATAAAATAATAATAAATTAATATCTAATTAAAAAATATGGTAAAAAATATAGAAATTCCCTGAGTTTTGACAATATTATATGAGCACCCCTGGACATTTTATAAATAACACGGACACCCCNTTGATATGCTTGTGGATTGCCCAAGGATTTATACGGCCAAATGGACTACAGAGTTTAGAGGATATAGCAGAGGGTTACCTGATGGATTTGATTGATAGAAGTTTAATAATTCCTGCCAAGAAAAGTTCTGATGGTAAAATCAAAGCATGTCATATCCATGATACATTGCATGATTTGTGCCTGAGAAAAGCACCGAAATTTCAAGTGCCGATTTACCAGCATGGAGCAGTCATTTCTTCTTCAGGTTCAGGTCCTATCTCATATAACTACCCGACCTTTCTATCTCATGATACCCCTGTTATTCCTGGGAAGTCATCTGTCCCACATGTTCATTTTCTTTCCTTGGACATATCTGGTAGGAATGCACACCCTAATCTAACTATGTTATCCATTTATAAACAGCTTAGGGTGTTTGATATATCGCACATCACTCTGAAATTGTTCCCAGTGGTCATATTGCAATTGGTTCATTTGAGGTACTTGGCACTTCAAATTTACTTTACTGAGAGCCTGCCGTCACTAATATCCAACCTCTGGAACCTAGAAACTCTTATTCTTTATAAAAGGGGAGGCATCAAAATAACTATACCTCGTATTTGGAAGATGCAAAAGCTGAGGCATATACATATTTCAGCTCCATTGGAATTAGTAGACCCTTGTTGTGATACTTGGAATTTACTTAATGACCTGCAAACCATTTCCACATTATGTCTTTCTAGTTTAAGTGAGGATGNAAAGCTGAGGCATATACATATTTCAGCTCCATTGGAATTAGTAGACCCTTGTTGTGGTACTTGGAATTTACTTAATGAGCTGCAAACCATTTCCACATTATGTCTTTCTAGTTTAAGTGAGAATGTCTTAAAAATGATTCCAAATCTTAGAAAACTGGGTCTTTTTATACCTTTATCACCGTTTGGGAATTTATCTTTTCCAGTCCTAGCCAATTTAGTTCAGCTTACGACACTGAAGTTAGTTTATTGGAGGTGGAACTCTTCTCCATCAAGCATTCCCCAAATGTGCATGTTTCCCCCCAATCTCAAAAAGCTAACTTTATTAGGTGGTCATGTGGACTGGAAGGAAACGTCAACCCTTGGGTTGTTACCCAGCCTTGAGGTTCTCAAATTGGAATA